CACCCCCTGCCCACACCAGCCCCACACCCCGCACCCCCTGCCCTGCCCGCAGCCAGCCTCTGTCTCCAGTCAGCCCCTGCTGCACCCCCTGCCCGCACCAGCCCTGCACCCCTGCCCTGCCCGCAGCCAGCCCCTGCTGCACCCCCTGCCCGCACCAGCCCTGCACCCTTGCCCTGCCCACAGCCAGCCCCTGCTGCACCCCCTGCCCTGCCCGCAGCCAGCCTCTGTCTCCAGCCAGCCCCTGCTGCACCCCCTGCCCTGCCTCCAGCCCTGCACCCCCTGCCCTGCCTCCAGCCAGCAACGTACGTAATATATAATTTTGTTATTATTTATATAGTTATGGAAAGTAAATAATACATGGAAGAAATGAAAGAGGGTTTTTTTACGTGTTTTTGTTTTTTAGTCATCCCTGCCTGGGCCCCGCTGAAAATGTTCGAATTGGGCCCCGCACTTCCTAAAGCCGGCCCTGGCTGGGAGTCAGTGCTGGCTGCGGAGGGGGGGTGCGTGGCCCCGTTGGGGGCATGTGACTCACTGTGGGGAGCGTGGAACAGGGGGGCTGAATGCTCCAAGGTCAGACCCAGGAGGCGCTGTAGCCAAGGGGGCTTGCCCTGGTGAGCGCGCGCCCTGAGGGGTGTCACACTGCCCAGGGTCCTGTCGGGGCCCCCCGAGAGCGGTGCCAGGGCCCTGAGCCTGGGCACCCGTGACAGGAGCGATGAATACAGCTCAGTACAGAAACTACAATGTGTCTCACTGGCCGCAGAGGGCTGGGAAAAGGCTGACAGCTCCTCTCCTCAGAGCGACACTCTCCCACTCCTGCAAACATAGCAAGGAAGTAATGGAGCTTCTCCCTGAGGAGCAGGGGGCCAGCCCGGCTTCCAGCCAGCGGCTCTGGCCAGCAAGCCATCCCTGGTTCACCACCGGCAAGAGCAGGTCTGACGAGATTTGGTGGGTCCCTGAATAAGCCCGACTCCTACAGCTAGGCTCCGAATGTCAGGGGGTGCCATGCAGGAGACAATCCAGTCTCAGCAGTGGTATCAATGTCACTTCCCAGTGAAAGGCACAGACTTCACAACGGGGAGAAGAGGAATAAAAGCTTGTTCGAGACACCGTGTCCAGGTTGTAGAATTTTATTTTACAGGGAGGTCGTACTGGGCACTAGCGAGTTATAGACAGGCCCAGCTGTGCTTCGTGTCCAGTGCCTTAGACAGAACTATCCAGCTACACTTGTTTTTCCTGTTTGGGTGGTCGCCTGCCCTGGTCTGCACATGGTTCTGTCAGAGCTGTCAGAGGAAGGGTCTCGCCCTTCTTCCCTCCCCTAGGAGGCCAATTCCAGAGCAACCATCACTGCCCACCTCACTCTGCCATCTGGGTCCCTTTGCCACTGTCAATCTTCCCATGCATTAGGATTTCAAATGGCTCATTACAAACCCCATTACAAATGGCTACATTCTGCTCCACTCTGCTGCGTGTTGGCTCAGGCTGCTGGCAAGCTGCCAGCGGGACAGTGCACCTGGAAAGACGTCCAGGAGCATCCAAAGAGTGAATCTGGTCTCATTGCCTGTCAAAGGGATTTTGGTCTCCTGCCTAAACCTTCTGAGCTAATGGGGTCTCTGACTGTATGTTGACTTCTACTAATCTGAAGGCTTGAAGCACCACAGCCAGCTGCAAACAAATGCCTTTCAGGATGTCGATGAGAGGGTAAGTCAGGTTCCGGACACTGCAAAGGACATTCAACAGGAATAGCAGCAGGGGCTGCAGGAGGCTGTTAAACACGGCGACCAAGAAGGGCTTAAGAATGTGATCGCCTGCTGTTGTCAGCAGGCCCACCACCAAGACCTGGAGGGAGAAGATGGATTTTGGTTAGTTGCTTGTTTTTGCTGAATATATTCACCAACCAGCAGGATGTACTGTATCCGGCTGTGTGTAGTGGAACTGCTGAGTTTATGAAGAATCCGTGCAGGGCAGTCCACTAACAAGGACCCTGTTAACAGACCAACCATTGGGGTTGACGGTATCCGGATACAAGCTCAGGCTGGAGGGAAGTTCTCCAGGCTGAGAAGGGGGAGAGCAGCCAGAAGAGGCCGAGAGATTGAAGGGCAGAGAGGACAGTAGAGAAATCTCCATTTCTCCCCACCACAGAAAACGGTAGCCTCTGTGTACTAGAGATCAGAAAAATCCAAAGTCAGAACAAAGCTGAAACTTCCCCAGGTATTATAGAGCATTGGTAACCGCGCGAGGGGTTAAGATGAAAACCAGCTTCCCATTACAAGTCTAGTTTTCAACCCCTCAATGCAAATTCCCCCCAAAAGGAGCTAATCCTCTTTACCGGACACATTTCATCCCAGGGTAGAATTTGACTGAAGTACTGCAAGGGAATCGGGAGTTTTATTCTTAGTGCTGTAAACATTTTTCCATTCTTGACTCTGAGAAATTTCAACCTTTTTCCTAAGCTAGCTTTGGCTCATCCGTCTCCAAAACGGCTGGGCCTCCACCCTCCAGAGCCGCTTTGCTCACTGAGCAGAGGCACCTTTTGGTATCTGGGGAAGTGACGGATTTATAGAATCATAGAATATCAGGGTTGGGAGGGACCTCAGGAGTCATCTAGTCCAACCCCCTGCTCAAAGCAGGACCAGTCCCCAACTAAATCATCCGATTGCAGGGTTTTGTTTGAGAATTTCTTAATGTTTGTGAGATTCTTTCTAATCTGCATGTCTCTGTCTAGACAACCTGGCGGATCAAGATACTAGTCTTCCTTTAACTCCTTTTCTGGAAAGCAGGGAGAGCTTCCACGCAGGCCTGTTTGCTTGTCTTAGATGGACAGTTCTTTTATGAATCAATTTCTTTGGTTCCCCAAACCAACCATGCAGGTAAAATTAGCCGAATGTTGGAGGTCCCTGAGCCCTCCAATTCCTAGAACACACCCTTCTCTCAAAGGGACGAGGAGTTCCAGAAGCGTCTCAGACTTTGAGAACGTTCCTGAGGCTATGCAGCAAAGGCCACTGGCCTCAAAAGCCAGGGGCTCTACAGGGGTTATCCTCTTTTCTATATGGAAAAGTAAGTTGTGCTCCCTGAAGGCCAACGTATCTCTGGATCCCATTTACTTCGCCCCCTCCGCTGGGAGTTGTTGACTTCACTATTTAGGCTAGGGCTTGGTTACAAAGGAACCAGCACTTATAGAAGGAGAAAGTGGGATACATACACCCCTCATAGAAGATCTACTGCAAGAGGGTCTGCCCAAGGAAAACCTCTCCCCACTGAGATGGTAGAGGCTCCACCAGCCACACTGCTTCACTCACACAGAATCCAGCCCTCTCCCACATACCCAAAGAGCACAGAAGAGCGTGTTTTGATTAGAGTTTGGCAATTACTTAAAAGAAGTCATGTTGATAAAGCAGAGTCAGGACTTTCATTTTTGAGGAGTTTTCCATTTCTCCTCCTCATCCACCCACAAACCTAAAGTCACCCCCTGTAGCATCAGTTCTAGTCTCCTAGGAAGGTTCTAGAGAACATCCTGTTTCCTTCAGAGGACTGAAGGTGTGTCCACCTCTTCCAATACAGTCCTACATTATGTCTGGGCGGACTATGGTTTTAAATTGAGTTGGGATAGGCCAAAGGCATGTGACCAAAAAGGATGAGGTCACAAGAAAGAAGAGCTAGTGTGTTAAACTTATAGTGACTGTTTGAAATACCGGTGTTCTCTTATTTAAGGTTTGGGCTAGAATAACAGAAATAAAACACAGTTAACTGGGTACCAGGTGCAGTAAATAATTGGATATATAAGAAATTCTTTCATCTGGCCTTAGCTAAGATCCGATAGTTGACAATGACATCGCTTCTTTGTTAAAGTGTATAGAAAAGTAAACTCTTAAAGGGTTCTTTGCAAATACCTGCCTGACCACGCTGGAGCCGACCCATATGGGTCTACGCACCCCTGGGTTTAGCCCATTTGTAAGTATCTTGCTCAAATGCTTGTAAATGTTTTGTTACTAAATGTTTGGATTTACTAAATTGCTTATTTTAGGTATGTTTAGAGCAATTTCGGTCTCTAGAGTTAACCAAGGAATGTAAGGTTAAATCAGTGTCATGGTAATACCCTGTATCGATGATGAAGGAACACTACCATTACAATCTGATCCTCCTAGGCTGCTACCTGAGGTGCCTTTCTAGGAGCAGGGAGGCCAGTGGAGCTCTGGGAAGGGCACTACTCACCTGGAACACGGACTTGCCGAGAAAGCGGACCAGCTCAATAAGGAAGATGAGGACCACGTTCACCAAGATCCTCAGCAGGCCAAAGAATTCCCTCAGGTTTTGCTGAATCACCTTCTCAGAGCTGCCAAACGGAGAGGAAACAAAGGTTCTTGCACTGGCCGGAAAGACCAAGTGGCTCTTTGGGAATGAATCGTGCTAGCTCTGCCCTGGGTGTTATGTCAACATAGAACTATTGTAAGAGTAAAATGACCCCCAAACCCCACCTAGCCAAACTAGGGGCCAACGCGGAGCTTGAAGAACCCCTTCCCCCAACCTGCCTTTGATAGAAATGTCAGGCTGGAAGGGACCTTGAGAAGTCAAGTCCAGCCCTCCGCACTGAGGCAGGACCAAGTGCACCTAGACCTTCCCCGACAGGTGTTTGGCCAACCTGTTCTTAAAAACCTCCAATGACAGGGATTCCACAAACACCCTAGGAACCCTATTCCAGAGCTTAACTGCCCTTGGCGTTAGAAAGATTTCCTAATAGCGAACCCCAATCTCCCTTGCTGCAGATTAAGCCCAGTAGTGCTTGGAGAACAACTGATCAGATCCCCCCTGTCGTCTTGTCTCAGGACTAAACATGCCCAGTTTTTTAACCTTTCCTCACAGCTCAGGCTTTCTAAACCTTTGATCATTTTTGTTGCTCTCCTCTGGACTCTCTCCAACTTGTCCACATCCTTCCTAAAGGGCAGCATCCAGCACTGGGACCCAGAACTCCAGCCGAGGCCTCGCCAGTGCCGAGTAGAGCAGGACAATGACTTCCCATCTCTTCCATACATTTCCCTACCTTTCCAGGGCACAGTTGAGGCCGGCGGGAAGGGACTGGGGAAGAAGACACCCTTGCACTGCTACTGCCTTCACCGTACCAAAGAAGTGCAATTTTCAGGGCCACTAGTCAACGGTCCATTCATTTTAGAAGGGAAAATAAATAATTTGAGACAGCTGCAGGCGGGGACTTCCCACAGGACAGCGAGTGCCGGTTACCTTTCTCCCAGCTTCATTATGTAGGCTTGCTCATGATCTTTCTTAGGCTGGTAATAATGTCTGTTCCCATAGTCAAAGCAGTACATGCGGCTGAAAGAGGCAAAAGCGACACAGTGAACACCCCCAGCGTGCAGGTGGCTCCCTTTCACAGTAACAGCCAGATGACTTCTGACACTGTGAGAGCTGTCAGAACGGGCATCCCAGAGGCACCAGAGCCACCATGACCAACACACAACTTTGCACACGAACTCTGGATGGACTGGGGGGAAGCTATATGCGGCGGGCACCACAAGGATGTCCACAGACAATGCTATTCATGGAGGGGAGTGTGCCCTCTAATGGCAAAACAGAGAAGTGCTCTGGCAAGGCCCTGTGCACAGAATTTTTTGTCCAAAAGGTTTTTCTGACTAGCTTTAACAAACATCTGCTTTAATGGTGATAATCTGAAAAGTGAGCGGGCGGGGGGGGAGGGGGGAGGGGAGTGGAGTTCCACGGTACTGTCCCTCAGTGACTCAACAGTGTATTCAGTTTGCGAGTAAAGATGTTTCCCACCCCCGCATCCTCCCCGCAACTACCAGCTGTGCAAAGTTCCCTTATATCAGAGTCAAGCTGGGCTCTTTCCATCCCATGTGCCCCCCCACCAACGGTTCTACCGGCCCAATTATGTACTCAGTGACATCTGGGCCACTCCTTTAGCTGCTTGCACAGGTGTAACTGTCTGGAGCTTAGCAAACAATTCTGTGGCTGACACCTGAGAAGGAAAAGACTCCAGCTTGCTCGTCTCTAGCACATTGGTAAAAATAAAAAGCACCACAAAAATGTGCAGCCAGAACTCTGAACCTCCGAAAGGAGCAGCCCTGTGGTGTAGTATGTTACCACTTTTACAGTCGCTTTCCCAGAGGAGAACGACACTTTCAATCACCTTTGTCTGCACTGCTGAAGGTACAGTTTGGCAAAATACAAAATGATTGCTGATTGGATGGGACATGGAAGGCCCTGGAGCTCAAAGCTTTGCCGGCCCCTTTTTCAGACACTGCTGCGGTCACCTCTCTGGGGTGGATCATGGTAGCTGGTTAACAGAACACAGCAAGAGTTTAGAGCAGGAAATGGGGGGGAAAAAACCCCAAAACTTTCCAGTTGAAAGTGCCGGTGAAGTTTGAGGGCTGGTCTACACTACAGTTACGTCAGCTTAACCACATTGCTGAGGGCTGTGAAAAACATCACGTCCCCTGCGATGCAATTAAGCCAACCTATGCCCCCCTGTAGATACTGCTAGGCTGGCAGAAGAATTCTTCCATCGACATCGCTACTGCCTCTCCGAGAGGTGGATCTACTACAGGGACGGAACAACCCCCTCCAGGCGCTGCAGTGAGTATAGTAAATGCCTATGCTACAGAGCTGCAGCTGTACCACTGTCGCGTTTCTAGTGTAGACCTACTCTTAGGGCTTGGCTACACTTGCAAGTTAGAGCGCATTAAATCAGCCCTGGGCACTATAACTCCTGCGGTGTCCACACTGGCACGACACTTAGAGCGCCTGAACACTGCAGCTGGAATGCTCCTGGTAATCCACCTCCACGAGAAGCACAACGCTTGCTGCGCCCAGGGCCGGCTCTGGCTTTTTTGCCGCCCCAAGCAAAAAAAAAAACCCTGCGGGGAGGCCGGAGCAGCAAGGCAAAACAAAAAAAACGTGCGGGGCGTCCGGAGCCAGGGTGCAGGGGGACTCCCTGCGCTGCAGACGTGCCCTGGGCAGCCCCGGCTACTGGGGGGGGAGGGAGCGGGGGAGAGAGAGAAGGGGGGCGGCCAGGGCTTCCTTCAGCAGGGCGCTCGCCACTCGGCCTCTCCCGCCGCGCCGCCTGCCAGGAGGGCTCCGCGCCGCTCCGGTCGGCGGGGAGGGAAGGACGCCGGCTGCCCTGCCGGGCTTGCTGCAGACCTGGCACCGGATGGGGCAGACGGAGTGCGCAGCCTGCTCCCAGCAGGGCGCTCCCCTCCTCCGCACCGCCGCCCTCTACAGAGTGGCCGAAGCGGCAAACCAAAAAAAAACCAAACCTGCGGGGCGGCCAGAGCGGTAAAGCGCAAAAAAAAAACCAAACCTGCGGGGCGGCCAGAGAGGCAAAGCGCAAAAAAAAAAAAAAAAAGGATTGGAGGGAAGCCGCCCCTTAGAATCTGCCGCCCCAACCACGAGCTTGCTCGGCTGGTGCCTGGAGACAGCCCTGGCTGCGCCCCGGCTGAAATGCCTGGGTGTCAGTGTGGACAATGTGTTGCATTAGTGCGCTGTGACTGGCCTCCGGAAACGTCCCATAATCCCCTGAAGTCAAGTGGCCACTCTGGTCATTGTTTTGAACTCGGCTGCAGGCATGCAGATATCCCCTTTGAAAGCTCCATTTCTGACAGCCGGCCGCTTATCGGCCCCGGGACAAAGCAAACCATTACTGTGGAATGCTAGTGTGTGTGTGTGAGTGAGAGAGAGAGAGAGAGAGAGCGGCGGGTGGTGGGGGCTGATGTCAGGGTTTCCCCCTTCCCCCCACTGCTGTCTGAATTTACAAGACAGCATGCTGACACTCTCTGCCCCCCCAAACACACAGTCTCTCCCCCCCCATCAGACCCCAAACCCCCCCCCTGTCCCATTCCCCCCCCCCCCCCCCATTTGAAAAGAACGCTGCAGCCACGAGCACACTGGGATAGCGACCACAATGCACTGCTCTCTGGGGCGTTGCAAGAGCTGCTAATGTGGCCACGTCAGTGCGCTTGCAGTGACAGTGTGAACACATGGCAGCGCTTTCCCTGCTGCTGTCTCCGAGGGCTGGTTTAACTCCCGGCGCTCTACAGCTGCAAGTGTAGCCATAGCCTTAGGTAGAAAATATGATAACCCACGTTGGGGTGTGGCCGGAACAGCAGGATTAATAGCCCTGTTACTGCGAGAAGTGCTCTACAGCTTTAGAACCCAGGTGTGACAGGAACAGCCTGGGAATCTGTCTGTGTGCACTTATGAATTCCAGTTGGATTTTACACATATACCCTTATGGGGGTTGTTTGCTGCATTATACCTCTTGTGTTAAAAGGAGGGGGACTGGGCCTCTGCCCTGAATGGGACAAACTTCACAGACCATCAACAGTCGTCCTAGCAGGACAATGGAGACTCCTTGGAAGGACTATTGACTTGCTAATGACTTCTCAGATCCACCCCCTCTAAAACAAAGGGTGTATGGAGGTGAACCTATCACAGCTGGGGTCCAAGGTCTCACACTGGGGCTCATGACCAGACTGCTTATAAGCCAGAGTGCTTCTGTGAGTGCTTGAGCAGAGAGAGCCCAGAAGCAGAAGACTAGGCAGCAGGAGAGGGGGTGCAGAAGAATTTGGGATTCCCTGGAAGACACTGACTAAAACCCAAAGGATCCTCTGGAAGGGTGAGGAAACTGAGGCAGGTCCTTGCATGCAGGTGTTTGTTGTTTCTTATAGATAGGGTTACCATATTTTAATTTTTAAAAAGGAGGACACTCCATAGGGCCCCGGCCCCATCCCAACTCCGCCCCTTCCCCACCCCCAGCCCCGCCCCAACTCCGCCCCAGCCCCGCCCCAACTCCGCCCCCTCCCCTGAACGCTCCGCCCCCTGCTCCTCCCCCTCCCCTGCTTCCCGCGAATCAAATGTTTGCGGGAAGCCTGAAACAAGGAGGCAGCAGGTAAGCTGGGGCGGGGTGCGGCACGGCGCGGCTCAGTCCGGCCCCCCTGGCTGAGCGGCTCCCTTTGGCGGCCAGCCGGCCAGCCCAGGCCAAGAGGCTCTGGCCCTGGCGTCTCCCGCCCGGCTGGGGCCCCGGCCCCCGGCCAAGTGCCCGCACCCCCGGCCGAGCACCGCACCGGCCCCCGGCCCCCAGCCGAGCACTGTGCCGGCCCCCGGCCAAGTGCCCGCGCTCCCGGCCCGGCCCCCAGCCCAGCACCACACTGACCCCGGTCCCGGCCCCCGGCCAAGTGCCCGCGCCCCAGGCCCAGCACCACGCCGGCCCCGCGCCCCCGGCCCC